GTAAATGTCAAAAATTAAAGTTGCATATAATTTTGTTTGCATTCTCCGGCATGTTTTGATTTTATCAAGGATGGGTAGATTATTTCGAAAAGGATCTTTTTATAATAAACAAAGCAAAACTCATTCTCTCACCACCCGACCGATGTGGTATTATCGAAAGGCATAAAATGATATCAACTCTAGCTTTGTAAATGGTGACTATGAAATTGAAGATACTTTCTTATTTAATAATAATTACTAAAAAATAAGGATGAAAAATCAACCCATAGATATTGGACAAGACATATTACAATTAAGAGAGAGAACGAAATCTCCCAAAAGAACGATATGCAAAATATGAAAGTTCCAACCAAAAAAAAAATACATATAGAGGACCAGTTTAGCATTATTGTACTCTTGAAAATTTCTGTTGTTACTGTGTTATTAGTCAAAAGTTGCTATAACCAGAAACATGTGGATGTTTGATAATTTTGTTTTTTAAGTTGTTGTGAATACCAGAAGCATAAATTTAGGTGTTTGGTAATCTATGTATAAATTTGCTGTGAAAATGTATAATGACTGAAATAGACATACTTTAACACACAAACTTATAATTAGTTTTATTTCTATTTTTATAGTCAATATTCATAATATTTATACACTAAAATACTAAAAAAATATAATTTTCATTTTATTAATTAAAATATCTCTAAAAGTAAATTGATTTTATTCGAGGAGATAAATTATATATCTATAAAGAAATTAATAACGTAAAGAACTGAAGGTAAATTATTTTTCAAACTAGGAACATTATAATAAAAATATATTATTAAAATTTAGCATATGATATTTATTAAAGATTTTTAATTTTCAAATAAACATTTAAAATAAAATATATCCTTTAATTTGATTTGGAAGAAATAAAATGAGTTGATTGAGAATTAATTATTATTATTAGGGTTATTTTAATAAACTTACACAATGACAGCAGAAGCGTTTGTGGGAATTAAGTTTTACTCTTTATTTTTAATTAATAACCTTTTGAATAATATAACATTTAATTAAGAGAGTACTAATTAATAATATGGGGTAAAATCACGACTCATATATTTTAAGGGGTATTTGAAACATAGTTAATATATTCATGTCGACTAAAGTTCAATTACATGAGAAAATTTGAAACCACATGCGTCCGTTCTTGTTCTCTTTTCCCTTCGTTTGTTTAATTTCTTCTGCTAACACTCTTTTTTTTTACTCTTTCCACTAGTTTGGCTTATCCTTCATTGCCTAATTACAAGCTGTTTTATGGGGCAGTCTTTTCTGCTGGTGGAGATTATATGAATTGGGAAATTTGCTGGTGTAGAAAACTCGACCTCCGTTTCTGTTTGAGTTTCGAGTTATCTTGTCGTGTTATGATCGGCCAAATTGTCTCTCGTAATGAGTACTGGCAAGGTGCAGCAGACCGTGTGTATGATCGGCCATTTGTTTGCTTTAAAAAATGACAGTAATACTAAAAGACAAAAACATAACATAATTGACATAACCAACATACGGCAATTAAAAAAAAAATCGATTGGGAACAAGACGACAACAAGATAAGAAAATAGCTTGGATAAACGACGGCAACTGCAAGATGAGAACTATCAGGGAAATGCCATCGTACAAACAAACGACAATAACTAAAAACCAGCACAAATACGACGACACGACATAAACAACATTGACTACAAACCAAGCCATTATAGGAAAGCGAAATCGTCCCCAGACTCTATACAACGATTAGAACCAAAATATGAGATTTATTGGGACCACATAAAGAATGAAGTTATTCGTAGTAAAGTAGGTAGGTGCGCGAAGGCTGCTTGAGGTGGTTCGGACATGTCCAACGTAGACCGTTAGAAGCACCAGTTCGTGCTTGGGAGGACATTCTTATACCTAATACTAAGAGAGGGAGGGGTAGACCAAGAATTACGTTGACCGAAGTCGTTAGGAAAGACATTCTAGATCCAGGCCTTCAGGAAAATATAATTTCGAACAGAGCCGTGTGGAAAAGTGAAATTCATATAGCCGACCTCAATTAAGTTGTGATTAAGGCTTGTTATTGTTGTGTATTGGGAAAAGGCATCGCATGAACAAATGAAAAATACTCTAAAAAAAGGACAAGAAAACAACACTAACTAAAAACGACATCGGTTGGGTTCACGACAAGGTAGAAACAAATCCAACCTGACAAACGTCAACCATAAATATGAGAATGTTGTTGAAACAACATCTTACAAAAAGAATGACATTAAAAATGGCACTAACAAAAAAGGACAACAATATATAAACAACGTAATAAATAACGACATAAAGGAAATGGGAAAATAACTCGACAACGAAGACTACTGTAGAGCCAACATACAAGCAAAATCATGGTGACAAATGATGAGATTATACGAGAACTACACATATGAGAACAATTGTTGAAACGGACCGAACAAACAAACAAGAAATAAATGAAAAGGACGTTTAAAAGACAGTAACTAAAAACGACATTAAACAACATAAACTAAAAACAACAATTGAAATAAAAAAGGCACATCGTCTGTGAAACCACAACATAAAATGAAATCATAATGACAAACGACAGCAACTATAAATACGAGATCTATTCTCGAAACGACATCACACGAACAAACAATAATAACAGACAACGATACTGACTAAAAACGACAACACATAAAAGGCATAAAGCGACAATAAGATGAAACACAACATTAGTGGGAAAACACGACACATTCTACTAACATTATAAAACCGAAAGCATCTCGGCAAATAGGGTGAAAAAAAAAACGACAAACCCCAGGAGCCAATAACCCACACAACCCAACCCAACTCAACCCAACCCATTGTAATCGAACCCGGCCTATTTGGAAAATAAAATATTTAAACTAAACATGGCTTATTAATTTTTAATGGCTAGTAAATAAGGTATTTACTTCTAAAAGTTTTAAAACTTGGCCTATTCATTATAATTTTTTAATTTAAAATCAACCCACCCAATTAAAACTTGGCCAATTCACTACAATTTTTTAATTTAAAATCAACCCACCCAAATTTAATTAGGTGGGTTGAAAATTTTCAGAAACCCACTCATGTTCACCTCTATGCTAAAGGACAACAACCATAAATATCGGAACTATCAGCAGAGAACATATACAAACTAACGACAATAAGTGTAAAACAAGAACAGCACTACTTTAACCAAATAACTGTAAAACGATTTTAAAAATAACAGTAAAACGATAACAATTAAAACAACAAACACCACCTCAATAATGATAACAATTAAAACAACAATAAATAAAAATGACGTCGCCTTACAAGCGACAACAATGTTAAAGCAACTACAAATTCAAGAACTATTCGGCGAACGGCAGCGTACGAGGAAACGACAATAGCTGTAGTACAACAAAACAGAATGACTGAACCAAAAAAACAGTAGGTAAATAAAAACTACAGTAATTACCACAAAGGGAAACCACATAAAAATACTATTTCCTCACACGTACATACTATATTATGCATGGTTTTGATTTTTTTTTAAAAAAAAACTATTGTGCATAGTTTTAGTGCACTCAGGATTCAAGTTACTTTATGAGTACTGGTAAATCTACATTATATTGAAATCAGAGATTATTTTTCATTGTGCCCAAAAAAAAAAAAAAAAAAAAAAAAAAAAAAAAAAAAAAAAAAAACGTTATAAGTTCGGTATGAAGTACGACGTACTTGGGATGCATACGTGGAGGATCGGCACATGATTGTATCCATTAATCAATTTGTAATTACGTGAACATCCATGTTCGCACAGACTCCTAAATTATTGAAATCAGAGATTATTTTTCATTGTGCCCATTATCATGCAAAAGGTTATTTGGATTTAGGACAAAAGCGAAAAACAAAGCTAGCTTGCCGGAAGTGGCAACTCCCAAGAAAATCCTCAAATGCGATGGAAATTTAGAGGGCCAAGCCTTTCCTTTATTATTATTGTTGTTGTTATTATTATTATTATTATTATTATTATTTTAAATCCATCAGATACACTATGGACGAGGAAGCACACCTGCCGAAATAAAGTGAGAGGATGTATAAGTATTGATCTTCTAAATTCTATTAATTCCTAAATTCTAGAAGTACCGTACCAAGTTGATTAATTTGGTGCAGTCTAATCTCAATCTTTTCTTCTTCTCTTCTTAATTATTTTTTAACGAACCAAGTTGGTAAGTGTTATACATTCTTTATTGTCAATCTTACACATTCACCGAGTTATTGAATTACATGATAAGATATTTATAGGAAAACAAAAGGCTTACATGCAGCACATGTACACGTTAATAAGTAGTAGTATTTGCAGTCAACGTATTCTCACACATGTGTGAAAAGGAGTCTAAAAAATTGTGTATACATACATATTTTGTACATATATAGGCACACACACATATACATTTAAAAAAATGGCAACCTCGATTGGCAAAGAAGGGCCAGCTTTTTTTTCTTTTTCTTTTTTTCCTTCTCGTTGAATGAGTGACGTTAGACAGGCGGAGAACACCCGTATTTGACGTCGCACGCTAACACACCAATTCTCCTCAAAACTATGCATCGATTGTGACGAGAGTCAAGAGGCCGTTTGATTCTGGATACAACAAAAATTGCATCAAATTCTTGTCAAGTTATATGCTTTGAGATTTTCCTAATTTATTGATTAAAAAACACACACATGGCCAACAGACACAAGGTTTGATGCAGCTACACTTTTTTAGCTTCACATTTCAATATTGTATTATTAATCTTCCTAGTAAGTCCCTAGTTTTGACTTGGGTTTATATGTTTTGTTTGTTTCAACGGCCTCTATTGGGAAATATAGGCATTAAACTAGACTATAAATTAAAGCAACATTCTCTAAGCTTTCATTTATTTTTCTGGTCTCTGCAACAAACTGATCACAGCGAAATCCAAGGAAAGAAAAAGAAAGATTAATTATGGCTTCTGTTATTAAGTTTACTAATTGTTTACTTATAGTGTTGTTGTGCTTATCTTCTGTATGGCTATCCAATGCACAAGCCTCTCAAGGTATCTGCCAAAACTTTGTCTCTAGAATATCATGTTATTTCAGTTTACTTTTTTTTTTTTTTTTCTACATAAGAACTGAGTTTTTACTGTTATGTCTTACATTTTTTGTGTCTTGTAATTACTAGATGGAAATGCTACTGCAGAAAGTACTGCTATTTTGAAGACTCGAAAGGTACGTAAGACCGTCGGAATTATATATATATATATAACTATATTTTACCTCTTAATAGATCATTAATAAGATTTTAAGAGAATTAAGAGCCTGACATAACATCAAGTTGATTTTGATCAATCTAATTTCTGTCCATGATATATATTCTTTGTTAAGCCTGTCTAATCAATATTCATTCGTATACTTGCTTAAATATTGTTCTGGGCATAGACGAGGTTATAAACACATATTTAGTTCCTGAATTATAGGCCAAATCTCATATGTTGGTAGTTCTTCTTTCATTAATTGGATAATTATTTGATAGATTAGGAAATCATTCTTGAACGTTTTAAGAGTTAGAGACCAAAGTAGGATTGGTCTATAGTTCAGAGACATAAGATAATCTATCTGTTTATCTAAAAGTTTTAGCTAGTTATATAGCTCCAAAGCTTTTAATTAAAGATATCCACTTTTATTGTTGATCAGGAATTCATGGCAAACGCTGCCACAGCTAGTACTATAGATCATTATGGATTTGGGGGAAGGAAAATGGCTTTGCACAAGGTGATGAGGCTAGCCAATGTTCAAGCTGAAGGTGCTACAGGAAGCAACTTAAAGGACTCGACAGGTTCAAACAACCAAGTTGAAGAAAAAATGTTTTGCAGGAAGAAGAAGAGGGGTGATCAGAAGGCGAAATGTAAGCAAACTGTTCGTTTTTCTGCGGAGATCGATGAGGCGGCAGGTTTTGTAGCTTTCAGTGCCGATTACCGTGCACCAAGACACCATCCTCCTAAGAATAACTGATTAAAATTTCAATGTGTTATGCGAGTGATCCCCTTAGAGAAAAAAACTTAATTACTATTCGCTCTTGTTTTACCTAATGATTATATTTTTGGCAACTTTCCTTTCTTGTTTTCCTCGTGAAGCATGTTTAAATGTTATCTACGCCTGAGTGTTTATGTATATATGCGAAGAAATTTTGCAAACAAGTTAGTGTTGTGTTGTTGAACTATATGTTTTGTCGGCAAACCAAAAGGATTAAAACTGCTGGTTTTGTTCTATTCGTATGCCATTTGGTTCTATAAGTATGTCGTTACATATGAGATCTTTCGTTTTTTGGCTATCTATACATAGCCCAAAATTTGTTCCTTTTTCTTAGTTGAGCATGCATTCCTTGAACACGTTTAGTTGGAAGAACATAATAGTTGACTTGGACTCAAAATTCAGGTGGTTTTTTATTATTATTTTTTGTTGAAGTACTGTACCATAACTGTAGTGAATGCAAAATTAATGTTTTAGAGTTGAGTTGTGTCTTGATTTAACACTCATGCATGTAATAGAACTTATATATGCCAGACTTATAAACAAAGAAAATAGAAATAGAACGGACGTACGGCCTAATTTTCTTGGAGATCAAGAAGATGACATGCATAACTCTCTTGAAATAACTTTGACTAATTCATTCACAAACTTGATTTTCACTCATCTTTTCCATGAAATGAACAGCTTATAGAAGTTTGTCAGGCAACATGATGTAGCAGAAGCATTAAATGCGTCGATTCTAGGAAGAATATCGAAAATTGCACAAGAGATATTAAGAGAATTCTCAAGGATCTTTATTAATAGCCATCAAAAACTGAATGACAAACTAACAATAAAGACCTTAAATAACAAAAGTAGTAATCCTATCTCTAATTGAATTCAAAATTCTAATTCTAAAGCAAACTAGTACTTAATAATCCCATCTCTAAATTTTAAAGCTTATTACAAAAAGGAAATAAACATAATTATCCAAAAATAACTAAAACATCTGCCCAATTTAAAATGCAAATAATTGAAGACAATCTTCCTAAATACGCTATCCGGCTACATCACAGCAGCCAAGAGGTATCTAATTGAACAACTTTTTATTGGTCCGTTTCAGTTCCAAAACAAAAATGGTTTTACCATTAGATTATGCTTCCAACCGCAGTCATTGTTTCAAACTTTTTATTTCAATGTGATTTTTGCGAGATTTAAAAATGTGTTCGATTGGAGAGATATTAAGGAAGTTAGAGGGGTTGAAGGAGATACTCAGGCCTCATTCACTTCGCGGATTCGAGTTTTCAATTCGAGCTGAGATGTGACATTTTCTGAGACATTTTTACTGTAGCAGAAAAAGTTAGATGTGACATTTTCTGAAAGTTTTTTACTGTAGAAACCTAAAACTGAAAATTCGAATCGGTGAAATGAACGAGGCTTCAATCTCTTGTTTAGTTGGAGCGAAGAGATGAAGGAAAGGAGAAATATGGGAATGAGTGGGGATGGGCCGGAGAATGATTTCTCAACCCCATTCTTGCCCACCAAAACCATCTTCATCCTCACCCCCATCCCTATTAAAATAAAAGCGGGGCCAGGGTCGGGGATTTCCCGTTGGGAGGTCTCCCCATACTTGACAGACCTTTCTTATATTGGTCTCATTCCTCCTCCTAATATAATAATGCATTTTAAATTTATAACAATTTAAAACAAATGTAGAAATCCACCATAAATTTAAACCAAAATAAAGCGCCACTAAATAAATCAAATTCCAGATATATGCATACCAAATCTTAATAATAAAGCCACAAACATCAATTATAATTCAAAAGTTAATTTTATATATAAAATATATAATATATGAATACAAGGGAGGAGGTTGGGCGGGGAATGCTTCCTCCTCCCCGTTCTGCAACTCGGAGACAAGATTTTGTCCCATTCTCAATTATTCCCTTATTTTTGCACATACCCATTCCTTTCAATGCAAATTCCTGTAGAGAATATTATCTTCTCTATAGATGGTCTCTATTTTATAGCCCACATAAACTAATCTTCGTAATAACAGAAGGATCTACCAAATCTCCTAAATTTTGATTTATAGGGGAAAAAAAAGGACCTATCGTCTAAAAGAATCATTAATGGTAATATATACGATGTAAATAATTAGGCAAATATCCGTCTTTTTTATTTTTAACTCATCTTTGGTACTACCAAACAATTTAGAATAAATATTAATCATAATACATATTCCTCTAACTAGGGCTGTTCATAAACCCGAACAACCCGCAAACCCAACCCCCCCCGCCCCAATCCAAGCCGAAAAAAGCAACCTGCATCATTATTTTTAAATTTGCGGCTCATTATACCTCTGGCCCGAAGTGTTTGGGGCGGATTGCGGGTTGGGCCCATAACAACCCGCAATCCCCAACCCAACCCGCCCAACATACCCCCAAGCTTTCGGCCCAAGCCGAACTGCCTAAGTTCTCCCCTAGGCTCGCTAACATTAGGGTTCACAATCTTATCCTCGGTCTTCCCTCCCGTGAACCCCCTCTTCTTGCCTCTTCCTTTTCAGTTTTCCCTGTTCTTCCCCTCCCATGAACCCCCTCATAACTCTCTCCTCATTGCTCAGGCCTCTCGGCCGCCGTCTTGCCCACTTTCTCCGGTGCTCTCTCGCCGGACTGATAAGGATGGTTGCTATTTCTATTTAATGATGAAGTTTGAATATTCTATTGAACTTTAAGTCTTTGATTTTTTGAATGTTGAAACCGACCACCCAACCCACCCCGCACCGCCCCAACCCAACCCGAACATTGTTGGGCTGTGAAATTTTTCTAACATCGTTGGGGCCAAATATGTGCAACCCGCACCCTTTGGGGCGGGGAAAAAAAGTCCTACCCCGCACCAACCCAACCCATGAACAGCCCTACCTCTAACTCTCTCTCATTCTTTCTACATTTCAAGAACACAAAACTCTACTAAAAAGCCCCAAGAAAGAAAAGGAAATATAACTTCGTTCATTTTAACGATTTTAATTTAAATTTTAAATTTTATTACAGTAAAAAACTCTTAAAAACAGTCCTATATAATTTTTTTGTTATAATAAAAAATTCTCATATAAAATCACATCTTAACTCAAATTAAAAATTCAAATTACGAACTAAACGTGCCCTTATTATAGGGAGAAAGAGGAAAATAAGCCAAGAATTGAGATGAATTAAAATTAATAGGTCAATAGTTTATATAAGTTAATAAATAGGCTATTTTCATCCGTAACTTGTCTGGTTATGAACTATAACTTGATAAGTTATTGTCCATAATTGTCTATAATTTGTCTGGCTATGAACCATAACTTGACAAATTTATCCATAACTTATCTGGTTATGAACTATAACTTAACAAGTTATGACCTATTAATTTTTATAACTAAAATTTAACCTATATACTTTTTTAAGCTTTTCATAGTGGCATATTTTCTACTATTTACCCATATTATATTACAAACCAATTCCACGACCCAAGTCAACTCAACAACTCAAGCCACCTACGTCATTGACTTCTTGAGCATCGTCATTGACTTCTTGAGCATCATCATTCACAAACCACCATTCACCAACAAACTTTTCCAATCACCAACAAAACCAAAAAAGAGCACTCCACTCATTATTCTAAGCCCCAAATCAAACACAGAAATTCTAAACCCCCAAAAAAAAAAAAAAAAAAAAAAAAAAAAAAAAAAAAATTATACACAAGTTACGGTGAAGAATGTCGTCAGGCGCCGGCGGAGACCACCCTCCCCACATCCTGGTCTTCCCTTACCCGGCCCAAGGCCACATGCTCACCCTCCTCGACCTCACCCACCAACTCGCCCTCAAAAACTTCCCCATCACCATCTTACTCACTCCCAAAAACCTCCCTACTCTCTCCCCACTCCTCTCCGCCCACCCCACCACCATCCAAACCTTCCTCCTCCCCTTTCCTCCCCACCCCGACATCCCCGCTGGCATCGAAAACGTCAAAGACATCGGAAACTCCGGCAACCTCCCCATCATCAACGCCCTCTCCAACCTCCAAGACCCCATTATCCGCTGGTTCAACTCCCACCGTAACCCCCCTGCCGCCCTCCTCTCCGATTTCTTCCTCGGCTGGACGGAGCATCTCGCCCGTCGAATCGGCATCCCCCACATCGCATTCTTCTCCTCCGGTGCCTTTCTCGCCTCCGTTCTCGACTTGTCCTTGACAAACTTTAGCAAGATCAGCACTTTACCCGCCGTTGACTTCCATGATCTTCCCGGATCGCCTTCCTTCAAGGAACAACACTTGCCTTCCGTCATGCGGGTATGTAAGAAGATGACGCCGGAGACGGACTTCCTTAAGGGTAGTTTGCTGGCGAATTTTTCTAGTTGGGGTTGCGTGTTCAACACGTTTGATGCTGTGGAAGGTGAGTTTTTGAGGTATTTAAGGAAGAGAGTGGGACACCATAGAGTTTATGGTGTTGGGCCATTGAGTTTGATGGGTGTTGAGGAAAGAATAGAGACTGAGAATAGAAATTTTGGTCATGTTATGGCGTGGCTTGATGGGTGTCCTGAGGATTCTGCTTTGTATGTATGTTTTGGGAGCCAGAAGATGCTTAGTAAGGCACAAATGGAGGCATTGGCTTTTGGGCTTGAGAAGAGCGGGGTGAGGTTCATATGGGTGGTGAAAACCGCCAGAACAGCCGAGCAGGCGGCGGAGGGGAAGGGCGTTGTTCCCGAGGGGTTTGAGGAGAGGGTAGGATTTGAAAGAGGGTTGGTGATCAGAGGGTGGGCGCCTCAGAGGTTGTTACTGAGCCATAGGGCCGTTGGGGGGTTTGTGAGCCACTGCGGGTGGAACTCGGTGCTGGAGGCTGCAGTGGCGGGGGTGAGGATACTAGCATGGCCAATGGAGGCCGACCAGCATGTCAATGCCAGGCTGCTGGTGGAGGACATGGGAGTGGCGGTGAGAGTGTGCGAGGGAGCTGATGGAGTGCCTGACCCGGTTGAGCTGGGGAATGTGGTGGCAACAGCAATGCGCGAGGAGGCACCGCAGAAGGCGAAGGCAAAGGAGTTGAGAGATGAGGCGATAGCTGCAGTGAGGGATGGTGGGAGCTCTGCATTTGACTTGGATGAGCTTGTGAGAGAGTTGTGTAAACTGCCGAAGCCTGTAGGAAAAAAATAGTAAAAGATATGGAATGAGGCTCTTGTATGTTTTTTTTTTTTTTTGGGGTATATTTTTTAATTATGATTCGGACGAATAATAACAATTATATTTTGCATTTAACGAATAATGTTTCAAACTGAACATAGATGCAGACAAATATTCCAATACTAGTCATGTTGGTGTTGGGGACTACTATAAGGAAT